AAGAAGGAACAGATAAATCTGTGACTGGCTGTGATCAATGAGTTGTAAACATCAGTGCGCTAGGACCCGCCCACCTCTGTTTTCTTGTAGTCAGTGAGTTTTAAGGGAAAAGTGGGCTGAGGCATTTTCATTCCATCATCTTTACAACTGGAAGTATATTACATACAAAATTTATTTTATTATAACCTGTGACTTTTTTTACATTACTATTGAGATGAAATTCAGATACTATACAATTCACCCATTTCAAGCATACAATTCAGTGCTTTCAGTGTATTCACAGAGCTGTGCATCCATCACCACAATCAATGCTAGGACATTTTTATTGCCCTAAACAGAAACCCCATACCTTTTAGCTGTCACCCACCAAAAACTCCCTATCCTCCAGCCTTAGGCAACTACTAGTCTGCGTTCTGTTTCTTTAGATTTACCTGTTTGGGCCATTTCATGTAAATGGGATCATATAATAGGTGATCTTTCGTGTCTGGCTTTTTCCACTTAGCATATTTTCAAGGTTTGCTCATGTTGTAGTATGTATCAGTGTCTTTTTTGGCTGAATAATATTCCATCGTTTGTATATACCACATTTTATTTATCCTTTTTTTTTTTTTCCTTTTTTTTGTCTTTTTTTTTTCTTCGTGACCGGCAACGGATCGCAACCCTCAGTGTCGCGCCCGTACCGGGCTGGGACAGGCAGCGGGATCGCAACCCTCGGTGTTGCTCCCGCACCTCGCTCAGCCAGTGAGCGGCCGGTCTGNATTTTTATTGCCCTAAACAGAAACCCCATACCTTTTAGCTGTCACCCACCAAAAACTCCCTGTCCTCCAGCCTTAGGCAACTACTAGTCTGTGTTCTGTTTCTTTAGATTTACCTTTTTGGGCCATTTCATGTAAACGGGATCATATAATAGGTGGTCTTTTGTGTCTGGCTTTTTCCACTTAGCATAATGTTTTCAAGGTTTGCTCATGTTGTAGTATGTATCAGTGTCTTTTTTGGCTGAATAATATTCCATCGTTTGTATATACCACATTTTATTTATCCATTAATTGATGAACATTCGGTTGTTTTCACATTTGGCTAGTAAGTACAAGTTTTTTGTTTTTGTTTTTGTTTTCTGACCAGTAAGGGATCTTAACCCTTGACTTGGTGTTGTCAGCACGACGCTCAGCCAGTGAGCGGGAACCGGTCTGTATGTGGGATCCGAACCCTCGGCGGGAGCGCTGCCGCGCTTCCCAAGCGGCGCACTGTAGCAGTGCGCCACCGGGCCGGCCCTATTTATCCATTAATTGATGAACATTCAGGTTGTTTTCACATTTGGCTAGTAAGTACAAGTTTTTTTGTTTTTGTTTTTGTTTTCTGACCAGAAAGGGATCTTAACACTTGACTTGGTGTTGCCAGCACGACGCTCACCCAGTGAGCTAACCGGCCATCCCTATATAGGGATCTGAACCCGTGGCCTTGGTGTTATCAGCACGGCACTCTCCTGAGTGAGCTAACCGGCCATCCCTATATAGGGATCTGAACCCGTGGCCTTGGTGTTATCAGCACGGCACTCTCCTGAGTGAGCTAACCGGCCATCCCTATATAGGGATCCGAATCCGTGGCCTTGGTGTTATCAGCACCACACTCTCCCAAGTGAGCCACGGGCCGGCCCTAAGTACAAGTTTTTGAGTAGACATAGCTTTTCACTTCTCTTGGGTGTATAAATACTTAGGAATGGCATATCTGGACCAGAGGGTAACACTATGTTTAACCTTTTGAGGAACTGCCGGATTGGTTTCTAAAGTGGCTGCACCAATTTACAGTCCCACCAGCTGTGTGTGAAGGTTTCCGATTTCTTGATATCCTTGTTAATACTTATCTGATGACTTTCATTATAGTCATCCTGGTGGGTATGAAGTGGTATCTTGCTGTGGTTTAGCTCTGCATTTCCCTAATGATCAGTAGTGTTGAGCTTCTTCGTATGTGCTTATTGACCATTTGTACTTTTCTTGGAGAAATGCCTATTCAGATTCTTTGCCCATTTTTTAACTGGGTTGTCTTTTCATTATTGAGTTGTATATGTATTCTAGATATCAGGTATATGATTGCAAATATTTTCTCCCATTTTGTGGGTTGTGTTTCTTGGTGATATCAAAAGTTTTTAATTTTGGCAAAGTTCAACTTAACCTGTTTTTTCTTTTTCTCTTCCATTTAGGTCTTTGATCCGTTTCTAGTTAATTTTGTATATGGTGTGAGGTAGGGGTCCAGCTTCATTCTTTTGCATTTGGATATTCAGTTGTCCCAGCATCTTGGCACCCTTATTGAAAATCAGTTGAAGATAGATGTGAGGGTTTATTTCTGGACTCTCAGCTCTGTTCTTGTATATTCTATCTGTATGTCTGTTCTTTTACCACTACCACACAGCCTCAATGGCTGTAGCTTTGTAGTAAGTTTTGAGATTAGGAAGTATTAGTTCTTCAATTTTGTTCTTTTTCAAGATTGGTTTTTTTTTGTTTTTTTGTTTTGTTTTGTTTTTTGTTTTTTGACCGGTAAGGGGATCGCAACCCTCAGCATGGTGTGGTCTGCACCATGCTCAGCCAATGAGTGCACCGGCCATCCCTACAGAGGATCTGAACCCGTGGCCTTGGTGCTACCAGTGCCACAGCACTCTCCCAAGCAAGCCACGGGGCCGGCCCTTCAAGATGGTTTTTGACTCTTCCTAGTCCCTTGCATTTTCATCTGAATATTAGGATCAGTTTGTCAGTCTCTGCAAGGAAGCCACCTGGAATCTTGGTGGGGCTTGCATTGTATCTGTAGATCTATTTGGGGACTATTGTTGTCTTAACAATATTAAGTCTTCCAATCAATTAATGGGACATCTTCCCATTTATTTAGGTCTTTAATATCTTTCAATATTATTTTGTTCTTTTCAATGTATGGATCTTACTCTTGTTTTCTAATTGTTTTATTCTTATTTTGGAGTGTTCATTGCTCCATAGTATATAAAATACAGTGGATTTTTATAGTAATATAAAAAATTAGTTAATATTCATAGTTAACTATAAATAACATTATTTGTTTTGTCTTAATCTATGTCTTGCTGTCTTGCTGAACTTGTTTATTAGTTCTGAAAGCCTCTCAGTATGGCTTAGATTGTGCCGATTTATTGGTATCTCCTTGTCTCTCATGACCTTGGCGACTTTGATGAATTTTGTGGAATATTTTATGGAGCAGCCCTCACGTTGGGTTTGTCTGATGTTTTCTCATGATTAGACTGGGGTCGTGAGCCTGGGGGAGAGTGCAGAGTTGCTCTTATCATGCAGCGTGTTGGGCTCCCCTACGTGCTCTGCTGGTTGGAGCCATGGAGTCCAGCCCACCCTCCAGGGGGCGGGGATTAAGCTTCACCTCCTGCAGTGGAAGAACAGCAGAGGAGGTGTGGACTTTGTTAAAACCCCCACAGTGATTAACAGGTGTTTGAGGGAGGCACCTGGAGGCTGTGCGGGTCCTCTTGTCCTTGAGCTGTGCCCACTGGCGTTAGCATCCAGCTCCTGCCTCTGTTGGTGGTTACTGTGGTGTTCTGTGGTGGTTTCTCCTCCTCTCGTTCCTTCCACATCTATCACTGGGAGTCTCTGTGAGGGAGATGTGGCCCTCCTTCCCCACTCATTTTTCCCGGGCCTTACTTTTGATGGCTGGGCAGGAGGCAGCATGGAGTGGTGTGTTGAGAGCAAGGACTCTGAGTGAAGGCCACTGCCATCCAGCACTCAGTGGTGGTTGTCAGAAGCTCATGGTAGCCTGCATGGGGGCTCTTAGAGCCCTGCTGGGTGCCCAGGAGGGGCCAGATGCAGTGGCTATCCTGGTGACCGCACTTCACTTACACGGAGCTG